AAAAACTATAATTCAAGAAAACTTTTCTCAGATAAAAGATCTGAAATTATGTAAAGAAAATAGCACATCATATATCTGAGAAAATCACCTTACACTAAACCCAAGATATACTCTGATGGAACATATGGACTCTAACGAAAGAGGAAAAAGAATCCTCTGGACAACTAGGAAGAAAGACCAAGGGAAATAAGAGTAGATACTGTATGATTCCATTTATAAGAACTTCTAAAACAGGCAACTCTTATTCTATAGGGCGTCCAAAAAATATATATATACACACTTTGAATAATTATAAAGCAGTGTTCCTTAAAATACATTTCATTTTCAAAACTGAGCTATCAGCTGTTAAAATGTGTATACTTTTTTTGGGACACCCTGTATAGTGAAAAAAGTCAAAACAGTGTTTGTCTCTGGAGGACGAAAAGGGCAAGATTGGGCAAAGGGACACCAGGGAACTTTCGGATGTTATTTAGATTTGCTATAAGGGTTTGAGTTACACAGGTGTTTGCATTTGTCAAAACTCAGTGAACATACACATAAGATTTGTACAGATTTTACGTGAAAAGCTGTATCTTACCAGAGGGAAAGGAGGATGGGGGAGAGGCAATAAAGGACAAAGGGGGTCAAATACATGGGGACAGAACGAGATGCGACTTTAGAGAGTAAACACACTGCAATAGACAGATGTAGTATAGAACTGTACACAGGAAATCTATACAATTTTATTAACCAACGTCATCCCAATAAATTTAATAAAAAATAGAAATAAAGAGAGAAATAAATAAAAGGCAAATCTTTAAACAAATTCGGAACTCTAGATAACTGTATGCATATTGGTAAGTGGTGATGGAAGGAGGCTGGACTTGCGATGAACACACAACATACAGATGATGTATTACAGAACTGTGTACCTGAAACCTATATATTTTTATTAACCAATATTGCCCCAATAAATTCAATTAAAAAAAATGTATGCATTTTGGTGTATTTAGGGGAAGCTACACAGATGCCTGCAATTTATAATGACATGCATCAAAAGAAAGATAAATTGATGGATAAAGGAAAATATAAGCACATAAATATGTAACAGGAACCATACAATATTTTAACTTATGTAAACATTCCTCTATTGTTGAAACAGTCTACTTGTTATCAATTTTTCAATATTAGAGATACTTTTACATAACACCTTACAAATAGCTAATTTGTTTTTTAAATCATTTGCTTCCAAAGAGTGGTATCATTTGCACATCTTTCTAACTAAAAGTTCTATGTGAACTTTTTAAAGTGGCACCTTAAGCAAAGCAAAAGGTTTTAGAAAACACTAAGTAGCTCTGGCCAGTGTGGCTCAGTGGATAGAGCGTTGGCCCGTGGACCAAAGGGTCTCGGGTTTGATTCCCAGTTAAGGGCATGTACCCGGGTTGTAGGTTTGACCCCCAACCGGGCTGCATGCTGGAGGCAACCAATCGATGTTTCTCTCTCTCCCCCACTCCATCGCTCCCTTCCACTCTCTGAAAAATCAATGGGAAAAATATCCTTAGGTGAGGATTAACAAACAAATTAAAAAACGAGAGAGAAAGAAAAGAAAACAGTAAGTAAAAATAATCCAAGCTGTAGCCAACAATATTAAGCCTGGGAAGATATTTATGAAAGTAGTTCCTTTTCTTCTATGATCAAAGCAGACCATCTTAAATCCTGAGGCAGGACATTAGCTTAAGAGTACAATCAAGGACCTTGCCAGGCAATGAAAAGTGCCAAAAGATTTCCACTCCAAGGCTGAGCATTCTGTCTCATTTTCTTACTCACTGATGTGCAAAAATTATAGAGGACACAGTGTTTCTTACTAAGAGCTACATTTTGTACCATGATAAGGAAAAAAAAGACAAGCATGGTCATGCTGAAAATCAGAAGAGACAGGAGTGAGTCTGGCCACCCCTATATGGTTAAACGTGTGTTGTTGTAGATACCATCCAAATTAAAAGCAAGCATAAAACTGCCATACATACTTTGCTGGCTTAGGTGCTAAAATATCTCATATTACATATCCTAATCCGGGTCATGTTAATGAACTACCAGGAAGCCTATTTCAAAATGTATTCAATTTGAAGTAAATGCTATGAAATCTCTGAATTCAATGCTTTGTTAAAAACCCTTTTTTAAAAAGACCTCATCTGAACTTTTCTTTAAAAAGAGACATCATCAGAATACACTGGTCCTTTAAGAAAAATATGTCACTATTAGGCACTGAACTAAGAAGATATCATCGCTCTAAACTGATACTACATTATTTATAAAGTTTTGACTGCTGTCCTTTGAACAATAGAAAACTAGGGTCAAGGATCTCATCTGTAGAAGAGAAAGTCTTACATAAACTCTAGTCAACAATATAATACTGGGTTATTTTGATACAGCCATCTTAAGAAGGCATTAGAAATAGTATTTTGAGAACCATATAAACAATAGAAACTGAAGATTATGTTTCTAATTGTGGATACAGTGATTCCATTATTAACACTGTCTCTAAGCCATATTTTAAACAAATAATTATCACAGTCCAAAATGGGATAGAAAGGATTCTTTATTGTGCTGCTTAGAAAGAATTTTGGTTACTCTTATAGTAATATTTTTTAAAAGTCATAAGGGTTGGTTTAAATATGACTTCATACAATTTCTGAGATCTTTAAAAATAGCTTCATTTCATTCTATAGAACTGTAAATTCATTTTAAAATAGAAATAAAGGCATTCATTAAGTCTTCCTTCCAATCTTTATTTGGCTAGCTAGCTTGGACTCATCTTTTAAATCCCTGCTTAAAAATTTCTTTATCTGGAAAGATTTCCTTATGTTCTAAAACCAGGACAAAAGTCCCTATTATCTGCTCCAACAGACAGTATAATATACTTTTCCTATCACTTTAGGTTACACACTTTGTGGCCTTTTGTTATTACTGTTCTTGTCTAGCTTTCCCACTAGAGTGTAAGCTCCATTAAGGTAAGGACAATTTGCCATTTCAAAATTGTGTCAGTATTTTAACACCTGTTCTATGATAAGTAATAAAATATCTGTGGAAAAATGAACTACAAGTTTTAAACTTTTCCATCCAAGAGATTGTATCAATTTCCAAAAAGCTATTCCAGGACAATTAGCGTTCCAACCAATTAATAGTCAACTGAGAATGACTTCTAACTGCTCAGCCTATACAAGACGGAAAAGACAAGATTTAACAAAGCTTTAATGCTATACACACAAACATGAAGTATGGTAAACTGACTACAGGGTATTATGTTTTTATACTATGGAGAGTTTTATTGTTTTTCTTTTGTCTGTTTTCCACAACTGAACTAAAAAATTTTTTTCTGTAAAAGCCAGTTTAAGGTTAGGTTCTCATAACTACAACATAATTACAGGACTCTAGCTTGTCTTCTAGCTTATCTGGGTATACATAAAATTCTAAAACAGAACACAAAGTAACTATTGCAACAAACAGAAGAAGTGATTTGGGAGATATGCTCTACTTTATGTGGCTAATCCTAAATAGGTTCATTATTACACAAATAAATATAAGTATCATTTGCAATTACTTACTTACAATGCAGTATGCTGAGGAGTGACAAGATTTGTGTAACAATGTTAAATAGTCAAATTCGGAATAAAGTATGCAAAAGTAAACAACCTTGGTTACTTTATAACACCAGTAGTAGACCTTTCATTTGGCCTATAGAAAAAGAAATGCTATTTCAGCTAAAATAAAAAATAAGCAATATCCTTGGGCAAAAAATCTAGCAAGATGGAAGCAACAGTGGTGGGATCAAGTAATCTAATAATGATTTCCTGTGTTTCTCATAGTTGATCATGGCCCATTAATGAGTCACAAACAGCATTTGTAAATAATGAAATGGAATAGGATATAAAATATCAGAGTGCAACATATGTAGTAAGGGAAAGTACTGTTTCCTGAAACTTTTGATTCAGTTTGTGTGTGTGAGAATGTAAAATGTTTCTTAAGTATAGGTTGTAATAAAAAAATGTGTGAATCTACTCTAGAAATATATGTCCCCTATTACTTCCTTCCCCCAAGAATTGAAAAGTAGAAACTGTACACAATCACAAAAATTAAAAGCGATATTTACCCAGAGGTTATCATAGTTTAAAAGCTTGATTTCACAAGCTGTCCTTTGTTTTTGTTTTCTATTTCTATATTTTATAAAAATATACTAGGTGTTTTTAAAAGACCAGGGTTTAGGAATTAGAACTTTTTTTGGAGAACTTACGTGCCAAATGCTTCTCACTAATTACTCACAACCTTAGTATATAATTTTTGCCCATGAGAAAACGGAGGCAACTGACATTAGCTAAACTGTCTGTTAGACAACTAACAAATAGCAGTGCCCAGGTCTTCAAAGCTCGCCTGTCTTCTATTATCACACAATGCACCCAAATAGTCTTCCCCAGCTGTTTCATGTAGGGATACTTTGATCTACCCAATTAGGCTGTAAACTTGAGAACGGGGAAAAGTTTCACAAACTTCATTTTTGTCTTTCACTAGCTTACTAAGACTACGATAAATCCTTAACCACTTGATGAGTTACATTCAACTTCTTTTGTTCTAGACTGTCCTCATGGGACATACCCCTGTTGTAAAAACAAACTACCAAACGACAAAACTACTCTAAGACTGCCCAAATCTAACTTTAGTCCTACAGAGTCGGAACTGAAAAAGTTTTCGTATGCCCATATCCGGAGACTACCACTAAGGGGACGTGGGAAAGAGAACGAAGATCGCTTTGCAAACACTAAAAAGAAATGATTCCCACGTTCCCCTACCACGCCCCCGTCACCCAGGCGCTAATGAAAGGAGCCTCTGTCTCCAGTCCTTCCGTGAGGTGTTGAGAAACCATAACCACGCCCCCATTTTGTTCCACCATAACTTATTTTCTTTCCCTACCCGGACCCCCGTGCCCAACATGAAAACCCTTCAAAAGCAACTCAAAAGTTTCTGACCTGCAGCGAAGTGCAGGGGAGAAGATTTCCGGCCGGCCATGTCCTTAGCGTTCACGTTGGCCGCGTCCACCAGCCTCTTCACCCGGGACACGTCCCCATTGCGGCAGGCCTCCAACAGTTCCCGTAAGGCCCCGCTCACTGCGGGGACCCCTGGTCCCGGCCCCGCGGCCCCAGGCCCCAGTGTCGCTGCGGGGCTAACTCCGGCCGCCTCGGGGCTCTCCGCCAAGCTCGATCCGGGGGAGGATGGAGAGGAAGAGGAGGAAGAAGTCGGGGAGGAAGAGGAGGAAGGTGAACTGTTACTGCCCCCGCCGGCTGGGTTAGGAGGGACCCCGACGGCAGAAGCAGCGGAAACTGCCGGTACCACCGGAGCGGCGGCGACGGTACAGATTGTGCCGGTGGTATTGCAACAGCTGGTACTGTCGACCGGGTCCGGGGATCGGGGCCTGTCGGGCGGATCCCGACTGCCATCCCCCTCCGGCAGCGCCAGGCCGTGCCGCGGGGAGGCGAAGGGGGCCAGGCCACCCGCCGTGGGGGAGGCTGGGGTGGTCCCCGGGGCCAGGCCTGGGCTGAGTGGTGGGGGAGGTGGTGGCGGCGGTGCCGAAGCCCCTGGGGCGGGCTGGAGCTGTTGTTGATGATGGTGGTGATGATGCTGAGAGCGACGCGACGCCGCCATCTTCGGACTCCCCCAGCACTGTCACTGCGGCAACGGCCCCCACCGCCCGCCCTCACTTCCGGCTGCTGGACCAATTAGCACCCAGCGCACAGGAAATGATGCTTGGCGAAGTGGGCGGGGTCGAGGAGAAGGAGGGAAGTATTGGGAGCTCGGAGATCGGCCGCCGAAGGGGGCGTGGCTCGTGGCTGAGGGGCGGGCTTTCTGACGCCTGGGCGGGCCGGCCCGGGGATTTGAACGCCGGAGCCCGCCTCTACCTAAATGGGAAACTTTGTTGGGCTTCTCGCCTTCAGCGAGCTCACCTTGCCCTGCTCCGCTGTCCTGCCAGGCCTCCTCCGGCCTTCCTTATCGTGCCCAGAGCCTGCTCTTCAGGCGTGACTCAGTGCACGAAGGAAACGCGTCGTTTTTCATCTAGCAAGTGTCCTCGCCTGGAAAAGGCAGCACTGGCCACCTCCCGGTGGTCAGCGGGATTCAGTGAACTGACCGATGCAAAGCGCTGTGCCCGTTAATGGGACGTAACTATAATTAGCCCACCGGTGATATTTTTCGTGCAGCCTTCCCTCCCTCCCCTTCCCCAGGTATCCGCACGATCTCTGTCCCTTCTCTGTAGGTTTCTCACATTGTACTTTTTAAATGTTTCCTTTTTAAATAGCGATTCTGATTGCCACAGTTGGAATTCAAGCTCTGCCATTTGCTCCTGTGTAAACGTGGGCAAGCTATTCAACTATTCCGTGCCTACGGTTCCTCTTTGCAAAATCAGATTAGTAGTTGAATAGATGTTAACCATTATTTTATTTCTGTTATCGCTGCACCTTAAGCTCGACTCACATAGTTGTGACAATGTTCCTTTCTTTTTAATTCTTTCTAGTTTAATCTGTCCTCTCCATTCATGTCACCTGGTTCCTCCCCCTCCCAAACTAAGATGAAAACCTCACTGTTATCCTTCACTCATCTCCAGATGCCATTCTTCAGCAATTACTTTTTCTCTTTCCTCTGCCTACACTTACCTTTTTTGTCTGACATCAAAAGAGATGCATAATGCGCCGGATAATCTCAGCGAGGTCTCCATTTCCTGCCTCCTGTCCAATAGTAAGCTATGCACTGTGCAAGTTTAGACAAACAGCATTATTCCAATAGAATGGACAGATGGAGATTCTGTGTCTTAAGGAAAAGCAAGATTTACATGGGTTAACAAATTTAGCATTGAAAAATATTAAAACAAGTAATAAATTGTTGTTTCACATGTTATTAATATAATAAGTGTGATGTTAATATTTCCATCTAAATAAATAGGTAAGTTTATTTAGGAATACCATCTAAATACAAGTATAATATAATATTATGAATGACATTTATTATCATCTAATATGGGTTTACAGATTATAGCTCAACATTATTCATCTGTTTCATAAATGTGTGCCATTGTTCGTGAATTGACAAAGCTGTGGCTGGATAGGAAACTCCATCAGTGCAACTAAAATCTGTCCAGAACACACGTTAGCCAGGTTTTAAATCTTAAATTAATGAACACCATGGGGTAGCATTAAGGAGCGGGGGAGAATCAACATAGTACCTTAGATGTTTATAACTCACTTTGGGGAGGCATAAGGAATATCTCATCTCATCCCCTGTTGGCCAATTACTCATAGATCACAAGAGGTAGTAATGTTCACCCTAATTTAAAATGCATCTATCGTGTCTGTTTACCAGTGTAAAATAAATGAAATTTCTGCTGCATAGAGATAAAAAGGCTGAATTGCCTGAAACTACTCTACTGGTAAACTGAAAATGCATTCAATCAATTGGAAATTGCTTTTTTCCCCTCCGGTAGAGAGTAGTAAAAGTACTCAAATTAAGTATTTATAAGGTTTAGGTTTATATGGACTGATGTTGAGCTCTAAACACAGAAGGGCAGATATCATTACCTAATCTTTTACAGCTGAACACGATTCCGTGAGGAGTGCACAGCACCCTAGTGAAGAAAGCAAAGCATGGTGTCAAACAAACCTGGGCTGGAGTCACATCTCTGACAAATACTAGTTGGCTAATCTTGGTAGATATGCTTCAGCTCTGTCATTCCAAAGTTCTGATTTTATTGTAGCATGTCATGAGGATTAAGAGACCTAGGTATTTTGTAAGTACTCCTTGAGTGTTAGTTTCATTCTCTTATGTGGCGTAGTGTTAATAGGAACTCATAGCCTCTATTGGTAGCTATCTCCTCACAACTTCTTTTATGAAAAAGATAGTGACTGGGAATAAATATCCACCGTTTTACACATAAATCCACCATTTTACACATTTTACAGGAATCTTAAGAAGGGAAAGATCAGGTTTGTTTCCTCATCTGAAAATTTAAGATTCTATATAGTCCCTAGTATCTCCAAAAATTGTTGTGGAGGATCATAATTGTGTAGCATCTTATCATTTTCAAAAATGTTTTTAGGAAAATCATGTCCAAATGGTTTAAAAATGTGAGCACATAACACTCTCCTAAGCCATATTGTTGATGCAAAAGAGCCACCAGCTCAGCTTGCCTTCTGAACTGTGTTGCAATGTTTATTCTTCCCCAAGGGGATTGTATGGACACACTTTGTAATTTACACAATCATAAACTTGCACAATCTTCATATTTCACTTAGTCTTGGTATAGTTATTTCATCCATACACTTCTCATTAATCTGCCTGAGATCCAAGTTCACTGGTAGTATCTCAGATCTGTTAAGTTCACCAAGCCATGATGAACATTGATCCCAACAACTGCCTGCAGGTTGTGGAGTACCACATACTGACCCTGGGGAAACTCTTACCCCTGGTGAAGATTGGAGCAAAGACCTCTGTGAGCAGAGACCACCAGACCTATTGTGAGAGGCACTAGTCAGTACCTCAACACATGGCTTGTGCCTTCCACCCACTGTCTCTTCTTGCTTGCTTGCAGTTGTTTGGCTCGTTGAAGGAAATAAATGAGTGAAAGCCATTTGAGTTAAGTGATGTTTGTATGCAGTTTCTCTTGGTATTGCCTACTCCTTCATATCTTGTCTTTGTTTTGATATTCTTGCTCAGAATTAAATGTTAAGTAATCCAGGAGAACTCTCTTCACCTCTCTGTAAACCCATCTGCAAAGTGGGGATATGAAGAGTCGTTATGAGACATAAATGAGTTAATATATGTCAAGTGCTTAAAACAGTTTCTGACACATGATAAATGCTATGTAAATGTCAGCTGTTATTATTAAGAACTAGGGAAAGCTTCTGGTATGGGATGTCAAAAAGTTACCTGAGAGACACATTCAGTAAGAAAATTGTAATGAGGTTAACATTGCCGTACCTCAGGGATAGATCAGCTTCCTACCCTCATGTGATAATTTAGTCCATAGAGATTCTGATTGCCTTTCTCCTTCATCAGACATCACACTGACCCATCACATTGATGATAGTATGCTGATTGGACCTTGTACACAAGAATTAAGAACTACTATAGGCTTATTAGTAAGACATTTGCATGTCAGAGGATACGAAATAAATCTGACAAAACTCAGGGACCATCCACCTCAGTGAAATTTCTAGGTGTCCAGTGTTTTGGGGCATGTGAAGATCTCCCTTCCAAAGTGAAGGATAAGTTGTTGCCTCTGGCCCCTTCTACTATCAGAAAAGAGACACAACACCTAACAGATTTCTTTGGATTTGGGAGAAGACATATTCTCAGAGCGTGTGACTCTGGCCTGTTTACTGAGTGACCCAGAAAGTTGCTGAATTTGAATTGGGTCCGGAAGAAGAGAAGACTCTGCATCAAGTCCAGGATGCTGTGCAAGCTGCTCTGCTACCTGGGCATAGGATCCAGCAGATGCAGTGGTGTTTGAAGTGTCATGGCAGATAGGGATGCTCTTTGGAGCCTTTGGCAGGCCCCTATATATGAACACAGCACAGACCCTTATGATTTTGGAGCAAAGTCCTATCATCCTTTGTGGGTAATTACTCTCCTCTTGAGAAACTTACGTTCTATTGTCTTGATAGAGACTGAATGCTTATGCATGGCTCACCAAGTTGCCACGAGACATGAGCTGCCTGTCATGAACTGTGTGTTGTCTGACCCATGAAGCCATAAAGTTGGGTGTGCACAACACGCTCCATGATCAAATAAAAGTAATATTTATAGGACCAGGCTTGAGCAGGCCCCAAAAGCACAAGTAAGTTCCATGAGGAAGTTGGCCTTACACAAGCCAAGTGTCCATGACTCCCATTCCTGCTATGTTACTCTTTCCCAGCCCACAGTTAAGGTTCACGAGTAGTTCTCCAAAGTCAGTTGACTGAGGAAGAGAAAATGTGTGGGCTAATTTACAGATAGTTCTGCACAATATGCAGGCACCACCTGAAAGTGTACAGCTACAGCACTACAGCCCCTTCCTGGGACATCCCTGAAGGACAATGGGAAAGGGAACCCCTCCCATTAAGCAGAACTTTGAGCCATGCACTAGATTGTTCATTTAATTTGGAAGAGAAAAGAACTAGATATGCACTTACATACTCATTCATGGGCTGTGGCCAGTGGCTTGGCTGGATAGCTAGGGACTTGAAAGGAATGATTGGAAAATTAGTGACAAAGAAGTCTTGAGAGGGAGTATATAGATTGATCTCTCTAAACTCTTGAAAAAATGTAAAGATACTTGCATCCCATATGAACATTCACAAAATAGTGTTCTCAGTAGAGGAGGATTTTAATAATCAAGTGGGTAGGATGACCCATTCTGTGGATACCTGTCAACCTTTTCTCCCAGCCACTCTTGTCATCATCCAGGTGGCCATGGGGGCAGGGATAGAGGTACACTTGGGCTCAGCAGTATGAACTACACACCAATGCTGACCTGGCTATAGTCACTGTTGAGTGGCCAGTCAACATCTGACACCAAAATGAAGTCCCCAGTATGGCACCATTCTCTGGGGCGATCAGCCAGCGACCTTGTGGCAGATTGATTATATTGGACCACTTCTTCATGGAATGGACACCGTTTTGTTCTAATTGGGAGAGATACTTACTCTACATATGGCTTTTCCTTTCTTGCACACAGTGCTTCTGCCAAAACCACCATCTGTGGACTTACAGAATGCCTCATTCACTCTCATGTTATAAGCATTGTAATAAGTATTGCTTTCAGTCAAAGAACTAATTTCACAGCAAATGAAGTGTGGCAATGGGCCCATTTTTATGGAATTCAGTGATCTTACCATGTTCCCCATCCTAAAACAGGTGGCTTGATGGAACGTAAAAATGACCTTTGGAAGATGCTCAGATATAGCACAAGCTAGGAGGCAATACTTTGCAAGGCAGGGACATTGTTTTGGGGGAGGATAGATATACTCTAATTCAGTGTCCAATATATGGCATTGTTTCTCCCATGGTCAGGTTTCACAAGTCCAAGAATCAAGGGCTGGAAATTAAAGTGGTACCACTCACTATTACCACTAGTGACTCACTAGCAAAATGTTTGCCTCCTATCCCTGAAAGCCTATGCTCTGCTAATCTGAAAGTCTTAGTTCCAAAGCAAGGAATGCTTTCACCAGGAGACACATCAATAATTTCATTGAAATGGAAGTTAAGACTGCCACGTGGCCACCTTGGGTTCCTCATGTCTGAATTGACAGTCAAAGAAGGGAGTTGCTGTATTGGCTGGGATGATTGATCCT